TGGCGTCCTTCAATGTCTTCCTTCAGCGGGGAACCCGGGTGACTGAGAATCAGAGCCCAAACGAGGTCTAACCCCAAGCTCCCAACTGTTCCCTAAGGAAACCAGATCGAATGATGACTTGGATTCAGTGGCCGCGAAAAGTAAGCGCTGTTCTCCGCTCCCCCTTTGCCCAAAACCTTCGGGTGGGGCCGGCGCGGGACCCCCCTCCTCACCCCCGGCCACGCTCACGACCCTGCGGCGCTCGAGGTCCGTCCAGGGCTCCTGCGTGGGGCGTTCGGCTGCCCCTCAGGTCCTTGGCTTCAGCGCTTCCGCTGGAGTCGAAAACCACGTCGTGTCCGAGTCTCGCGGAGGTCGAGGGTTTCCATCTAGGACAGGCTGGCTGGTGCGTTTACAGCCGCCCGTGGAGTTTAGCCCAAGAGCCGAGCGGAGGGCCAGGGACTGTGTGGGGCAGAGGCTGGTGCAGGGCAGTGGGGCGACCCCGGGAAAAGGACCCCACGCAGGTCTGGCCTCAAGTGATTAACAACGTTAGTAATAATAATAGCATTTATTAGCGTCGCTTGGGTTTTCTGGAAATAGGGTTTCGCTTTGTAGGGCAGGCTGGCCTCGAACTCGCCGCGATCCTCCTGCCTCAGCCTCCCGAGCGCTGGGAGTAGGGGACTGAGGCGCCACGTGCGGCTAACAACGCTAATTTTGTTTTGGTTTTTGTACCAGGAATTGAACTCTGACCCTTCTGCTTGGGAGGCAGACTCGGCACCCCTGGGCTAAATCCCCGGCCCTTACAACGCTAATTAGTAATCGTGGCTGATCATTATCGCCCTGCTCTTTGCCTGCCAGGCACTGGATTCCCCTTTAATTTTAAACTCTCAGTGGGGAAGAGACTATCGAGTCTCCCACTGTGCACAAAAGATATTTGCACTGCAGAGAGATTAACACCGAGTCTGCCTAGGAAATCGAGACCGCTGTGCCGTGGGAAGGTCCAGGTCCGGCGCCCACCTAATCACGCCCCAACCCATCAGGAATTAGGGCGCTAGGCGGAGGACAGCCGGGGAGAAACGGGAAGGTCGCGTACGTTCTTCCTTCCCGCCGGATTTGGGTTCTGTTTCTACTCTTGGCCAGTGCGCTCCTCCAAACCAGCGCCGGATTCTTCCTCGCCCGCGGCCCCCTGCAGGCCGCCTCCCGGCCCAGGTGCCCGGCGCCGCCCTCTTCTCCCGCATCCTGACCGCGGGGAAGGAGCCGCGTTCTCCAGGCCCCAGCCGGGAGCGGGGTGCGAACGGCTGCCGAGGAGGGAAGGGCGGTCTGGGGAACCCTGGGTCCCAGGCTCTGTACGGTACCCAAGAGGTGTAGTCCCTGCTCGCGCACGATTTGGGAATCCCTGCATCTCTACAGAGGTAGACGATCAGAGGAACGGATCTAGGAAAAAATAAATAAAAGGAATCAAATGGGAGTAAGAACAAAGCTGTCAGCGAGATGAGGCAAACGGTGGCCTCTAAGATTCCACACCTGCCCTTTACCACATTTTGTTGGAAGTATGGGAGACTCATAGTTCGTTTCTCTCCCCTCCCC